GGGAAGGGAAGGGAAGGGAAGGGAAGGGAAGGGAAGGGAAGGGAAGGGAAGGGAAGGGCTGGTGGACTCTAACCAAGGCTCTTTCTTTTGATTCCCAGGTGAGCCTTAGTCCCAGTGCTGCTCTAGATGCTAGACTGGTGAATCTGTATGCCTTAACGTTCACTGCACATTGTGCAAGAAATCGAACAGATGCTCAACTCTTTGTTCGAGTTATTGAAGCAAACAGATCAATGTGCATTGGAGGATATACTGACATAGGTAAGAGTGTTGTAGTTTCCTTGATTTACAGTTACAGTTTCGGTATATCTGGCCAAAGATAAAAGTGCTTTGGTGAAGAACATTTTAACATAAAATTATAGTGGAGTTGGATGAGATGGAAATTAGTCACTAGGCACTGGGAGGCATTTTGAGTTTTCCATCAAAATGGAGCAGATCCTGATTAGCACAGGACAGCAAAATATTACTTGACCAAGAATAGGAGGGAGACTAGAGTAGTAATAGTAGAATTGTCCAAAGGTTCCCATAATGCCTGACAGGAGGGGCTGTTCAACCTCAGCTTGTCCATGTTGCCATGTTCAATTCAGTACTGTGTTAGTTTTTTCCATCTCTCTTATGTCATAGGACGGTTCCCTATACAAGTCTCAGAGGATGTTCCACCTGGAGAAATACTCTACAGAACTGTCTTGAAGAGGCGGGGCACAGGCAACTTGACCGTAAGTACAGTGGTTGGGAGAAAAAGCAGGAATGTACTTGAAAAAAGTTCTCTGATCACCAGGAGGGTGATAACCAAATGGTTATCAGCAAATGGAAGGTGGTTGGGAGAAGGAATTCCTCAGCTCTGTGGACTGTCTGAGAGGAGCTGGTCTGAAAAGAGGGGAGCTGACATTTTTGAAGGGTGACTTGACAGGGTGAGGACTCAGTGGCTGGGGTAACAGGTGTAGGGTGTTGCCTACTTTATACTTTCCACATTGTCTCTCCTTTCCACAGTTCGCCATTGAGAATGCTTCCTTGCCTTTTGTCATAACTCCAGGAGGAGTCCTGCAGACACCCGCCACAGGTTTCACTCATGAGCAAGCTGGCAAGGTATGTGCTATTGTTTGCCTTGTAGATACATTTGCTCAGCATCCCACTGAAACAGTGGGAGTCCATTCAAGGCATGTCACTTCTTGGCTCTTTGTCATACCCCAAACATTCCCAAGGAGAACTGCATGCCTGTGGGGAGCTTCTGTTGTGTTCATCAGCCTTTTGCTGCTAGATTTTGATTTCCATTTTTTGTCATTTCAGGCCTTTGGGCCTTTCTAAGTGCACGGTTCCTAATAATTTCAGGGAACTGCTACTACCTGCTTCTGAGGCTTTTATGGAACTGTAGGCTTCTTCATTGGGCCTCTTGGATTCAAGTAACATATGAAGGCCATCCTTCCTGTATTGCCCCTGCAGATATTCTCACTAACAATTGTGGTCAAGGATGATGGTGTGACAAGTTGCCAAGTGCCTCTGTTTATCCAGGTGAATCCTGTTCACCATAACAAAGTCAATTTCACGTGAGTTGGAGAACTGGGGGTGGGGGGGAAGACACAGTGGTGTTTAGATATGGACACTGGGTTGCCAGCAAATGGGGCTAGCCCAAGACATCCTGCTCTCTCACTATATCCTTGAAAGGCATACAGTACTCCAGAATCCCTTGCACAGAATGGCACAGAACTGGAATTATGCCAGAGCATAACTAGCAGTTCAGATCTGGTCACATGAAATCCAACAGCGCAATCTCAGAATTCTCTGTGACACTTACTGGAATTTTAAAATGCGCTGCTCAAAATGATGCTTTTCTGGCACCTCTAAAAATGCTGCCTGCTCAAACAGTCACGTATGGCCTGAGTCAAGGCTACGTATTACTAATGGAAACCCAAGAACATGAGGAATCATCTATTCTCCATTCACCATATACGACTTATATCATTCCCTGGGGAAAGAAAAAATCCTGCTTATGACTAGACCAGCCAAGGCTTGAATCAAGCTGCACGCTTCTGGAACTCCTGGGATGTTACTTTTTGTACTTCAGACATCCCTGAAGTATAGACAATATAGCAGATCTAGAGTTTATTGCAGAAAGGGAATGAGCAGATTTGATTATCTTTCTTTCAAGGAGCACTACAAGATATTGTCTAGGGTAAGAGCAAGTTTACTGCCTCTTCTACCTCATGGGTCCAAGACACATAGATTGAACAGTTTGGAGTATGATCCCTACTCTAAAGTTCAACAAAACACCATTACATTAAGGATTGGGACATAACATATTTGGAACTCTGAGGAAGACATGCACTGGGAGGAATTTCTTTCAGGATATAGCCCTGTCTATGTGACCCCTGATCTTCTTGCTAAGTTATTTATGTGCCTATGTAACCATACAACAGTATTTTTTAACTATAAGTAGCAGAATAAACTGTATTGCTCTTGATAAACTCCTGATTCTGAAGAGTTATTTATACCTTTGCCTTCATAATTCAGGGAATCATCAATTGCATGTTCAATACCGGAAAATGTACCACCCTTGAGCAAGGTCATACAAGTCCGAGCCAATGGGGATTACGTGCTCTACCAGATCATCTCCCCAGGCACAAACTATTTCACCATTGAACCAGGTAATGAAAGCCCCAGGTAAGGCATGGCATCCACACCATCTCAGGAAGTCTCTAGTAGTTAGCTACACTGATTTTCAATTCTCAGCCCTCTTGCCTTCTAGAGGCTGAGAATTTATCTTTCTTCACTATAGGGCTTTTGGGGGAGGTATGGCAAAGTGAAGACGGCTCTGCAAAAGCAGAGCCAATGACTGCGGCAAAGACCAAGGAACCAGTGAGTAGACCGGTTCCTTGGAACCTCTCTGGCTAAGGAGAGGATGGGAGATTGCCTACATGTCTCCAGTGGCTGCTACTCATGAGGAGGCTGCAGGACAGTGGTTTTCCATGGTTTTGAGCACTGGGAGACAACAGGATCAGCTATCTTGCTTGCAACCACAGTGAAGCCTTTTAAAGGACACTAAGTTCACAAACCTCACTTTCCTGTTAACTATTCTAAAGCTAGTAGAGACCTTCGGAACAACAGGCTTGAAAAGTCTTCATCAGGTGAGTTTATCTTCAATTCTAACAAAAGAAAAATTAATTACAAGCTTAAGAACTTAAAGAATTTTAAATAAACAGCAAAAAGCTAAATAAGATTTTGATCTAAGAAAGTTATAAACGGATTAAGGGTCCAGATTAATTTGGAGTATTGACTTTTACTATAAGATTTTAGAATTAATTATGAAAGTAACTTCTTGTGGGAAACAAACTTATTTTGGTTATCCTGACAATTGCAAATCATAATAAAAGATAAGTGATGATCTTAGAAACTAGACACTAGAGGGGTCTAAAGATTTTAAGCAGAAGACAAAAACATACAAGCCTGATGTCAATTAATACTGGGACTTACAGAATGATACTCTCAGGCCCAGCCCAAGGACAACAGTGAAACAGTCCAGTTGAGTAAAGTTTCTTTATTTGCTTACACCTTATAGACAGAATCTTGCCAGATTAAATCTATATTACTGCAACCAATGGATATACCCTGGAAGATTCTAGAGAGTGGCTATCCTGAACCTCTTTTGCTTCCCATACTCCCCCTGCAGTCTGTGTTGTCTTTTTTCTCCTTTCCCCTCCTGGAACGCACTCCCTCCTTGCTGAGAGCCTTGATCTCTCACATCACTCTCCTCTTCATAGTTACATTCCATCACAGATACAAAACATTTTAACATCAGAAATATTAAAGGAGATCTTTGAAGAATGGATCCAGAAGTTAATAACTACAATATTAACACTTTCAGTAATGATGTCTATTTCTATGGATAGACTATGCTTAAAAGATGTTAATGAAGGAATGACAGATATGGAACAAATTTTATCTGATAAGATAGTGGAACTACAAATGACATGCCAAGAGAATGATTTGGAAAAGTTTACTTTACTAGATATACAAAAGAAACTGGCTGAAGTATTAAAAATTAAAAGGGAAATACAAATGATAAACCAAGAGAATGACCTGGAAAATGTTTTCTTA